TTCTTTTTATGGTTGGATCTATTTTTCGACTTGATAGTATTGAATGTAATGATGAAGAAATATGGACTATTCGAATGGTATTATGTTCTGAACATGAACATAAATTGGAAACACTTTTTCAACATATGAAAAATGAACTTAATAATGGCGAAACAAATATTCTAGTCTTTGGTCATCTATTACGAAAGATGGGTAAATTAGATGATGCTGAAAAATATTATCGTCGTTCTCTTAACACATTTTCATATGATGATTCAAATAGAGCACTTTGTTATCATGCATTAGGTCTTGTTGCTGATGATAAAGGTGATTATGAATCAAGTTTAATATGGTACAAGAAAGCACTTGAAATATTCCTGCGAATATTAAAATCAAATGATCCAAATATTGCTCTTATTCATAATAGTATTGCTATTATTTATCAACACAAAGGTAACTATAATCTCGCATTAGAATCATATGAGAACGCATTGACTATTTGGAAAGAAGTTTTTGGTGATGATCATCCTCATGTTGCTATATGTCTTAATAATATTAGTAATGTGTATCGAAATGAAAAGAAATATTCGAAAGCATTAGAATGTGTAGAAAAAGCATTAGTTATCTTTCAAAAGCATCTTCCTGCTGATCATTCAGATTTAGCTTCAACCTATGGAAGTATTGGTAATATTCATTTATGTCTTGGTCATCATAATCAAGCATTACAATATTATAATCTTTCATTGAAAATCTATGAAAAATGTCATCCATCTCAACATCCTGATATTGCTATAACATTGAGTAATATTAGTAGTGTTTATGAAGATAAGAATGAATATCAACAAGCACTTGTTTATCTTGAACGAGCATCAGATATTTATCGTGATTTGTTACCTTCAACACATCCGAATGTTATTCAACTTGAACAGAGTATTAAACGTGTTTCAGCGAAATTAAAATAATTTTTTTTTATTTTAAAATTTCGATAATAGAATTATATATAATGAATATTATCTAAAAGGCATTCGTCAAATGTAGGTTTTGTAAAAATAAAATATATATGAATAGATTAGGAAAAATCCAAATACACTGCGACAAAAACAACATGACACATGGGAAAAAACACTAGAGCAATATGTATAGGAAATATCCAAGTAAAAGAAAGGAAAGGAAAGAAGATCTATATATATATATGTCTGTCGTGCATATGATCTGTACGAGAATTAGATAGAGAAAGGAAAGAAAGAAATATCCAACATAGGTGAATACGCACTATAACAATAGTTGTTCTCAAAATTCTTTTCGTTTCTCTGCTCATTTCGTATTACATGGATCCAGTTTATATTTCTAGTAAGTGTGGTTTTTTTACAATTGAGAATTCTCACGAAGATTTTAATGTAGGAAGACGAAATCAACAATATCATCGTCGTCGTCGTCGTCATCATCTTCTGGTAGAACAACGAAAACGACAATATCATCATCAGCAGCGATACCAACATACTATCGGTGTTCCTACTTTGATTAGTTGTCTTACAGTGACTATTAAGTCTGATAAGTATATTATATTTTCAATCGATTCACATCATTATATCTGCCGTATACCCAGTCTATCGACAGTAAATATTAGTTCGTCCGGTGTGTTCGATACTTCTCCACCAGCTCATCGTCTTTCGACTACTCGTTTTATAGATGACAAACAACAACCTGATCATCCCGATTATACTCAATTTGATATTAACAATATTTAATAGTTATTGTAAATGCTTTTTTTGTTTGATATTTTTCTCATTTGTTCTCTATAAGTGAACTACATATGACAAATTGTTTTTAATTTTATATTAACGAATAATAAGATTTAGAATTAGGGTTTACTTTTTTTTATAATAAATATTAGATAAATATAACCATTGTATCATTGGTTTTTAGCATGAATGAGTTATGCATAAATAGATTGTAAATTAGAAAGACAAACATTATAGAGTATTAAAAATGTTATTGTAAAAGTGTGAAAAATTAATTTTCGATTGTATGATTTGGAAAATCGACAAAAGGGTGTGGGTGTGGGTGGAGATGTAAGTACTAAAATATACATCTCTTCCTTTGCACTACAGTTATCGCTACAACCTGAGCCAAACCGACAACTGCACCTAAACTTATACCCACACTTCTATCTCACCTATACACTATTGGGTAAATATATTTCTTTTTATTATGATTATCTCTTTCATGAATTACTTTCATCTTCTTTAAACAACTCTTTGTGATTATTGTTTTACTCTTCAGTTTTATTATAACTTTATCTACTCTTTATTTTAGTCTTCTTTTTCTGATGTTTTCGTTCTATCATATTACTTTTTCTTTTTCTCTGTTGGTAGGGAGGAAAAATGCTATGGCATCATATATCACATGCCATAAAGAATACTAATTCACTTTCAATTCCTCACGTACTACAAATATCATTGAATATTTAAGGAGTGACTATTGTTTTATGAAAGAAGAGGAACAAAGAACGAAGAGAAGCGATAACAAACTTCCTTTTATTTTACCCAGTAAAGTAAATATAAAATATTATCTTAATCATTCAAGTTTGTGTAGAAAAATCATTGATAGATCGCAATTTATTGAAATCTTCTAAAAATTGTTGATCAATAATTATTCATCAACGATTTTTTTTCACTTGAATAGATACTTCATTCTACAGTTTTCGATAATTTATTCATAGTTAAATTAACATATGCTCTTTCTATACCTTATTTTGTGATTGAAATATTTGAGACTGATAGGATAATTATTTTTGATGTATCTTCATTCTCAAAATAAACTATGTTTAATGTAATGATATTGTATAAGGATATGTTTTAGAAATATTATGATTTCTTTATTTTTACTATGATGGAGATGAATGATATGTCTGATGATAATTACTGTTTCAAGAGAGAAGACAATCGTTTTGAAATATTTACTCTTATCTGGTTAGAGACTAATATCAATGATCGAAAGCATCAAGATATTGAAGAAATGCTTCGTACTACTATTAATCATATCAAGAAATTTGATGATTTAGACAAGTGTAAAAAGTACATTGAAGAAGCATCAAAAGATAATAAATTAGTAGTTCTTATTAGTGGTCAATTGGGTCGACAATTAGTTCCTTTAATTCATCAACTTCAACATATTTCAGCAATTTATATTTATTCTGAAGACAAAAATAATAAAACTTGGGCTCGTGATTTTCGTAAAGTAGGTTTGTTATTTTGAGAAATGCAAATGATGTTGTATTGTTTTTTAGTTGAAGATTGTTAAAAGAGGTTTCAAAAATTTGATATCGCAAATCAATGAAGATTATGCAAGACAAAGAAGAGTTCACGAATCTGAGTGTTTCAACATGTTCATCGGCATTAATGATGGAGGAACATCAACAACAAGTATCAATGGCCAATTTGTTTTTTCTCAACTACTTATCGATTGTCTTCTTCGATTAACATCCAATGAGATGGATAAAAATGAATTAATCGATTATTACGAGAAAGCATACGAAGGAAATCATGCTGAACTCGATAAGCTTAATGAATTTCAAAAAGAATATTCACCTGAAAAGGCTTTATGGTGGTATACTCGTGAATCATTCTTCTATAAGACCCTAAACGCAGCTCTACGTAAGCAGACTATTGACATGATGTTCTTGTATCGTTCGTACATTTCTGATATACATCGGCAATTACAACATCATCAATCAATGTATCCTATTCAAGTTTATCGGAGCCAGTTGATGTCGAATAGAGAGCTAAATTACCTTCAGCAGCAAAAAGGTCAACTTGTTTCTGTAAATTCGTTTCTCTCTACCTCTACTGATCGTAAAGTAGCTGACATCTATACGGGTGGAACAACTCAGTACAATAATTTAGAACGAGTTTTATTTGAGATTGATGCTGATCCTAAAGTGGTCACAGCAAAACCTTTTGCTGATATTAGCAGACTTAGTCATTTCTCTGTGGAATCAGAGGTATTGTTTATGCTTGGCTCGATTTTTCGTATTGAATCCATCAATTGTACCGATGATCAGCTCTGGATTATTCATATGTCCTTATGCCGTGAGGACGATCACGATTTGAAGGAAGTTCTTGAATATATGAAGAAACAAAATGGTATTGAACAGACGAATCTATGTTCATGGAGCAAGATCCTATTAAAGATGGGCAAATTCGATCTGGCGAAAAAGTACTATATTCGTTGTGTCAATGAACTTTTGGATAAAGATCCTTTACTTCTCATGGCATATGAAGGACTTGCTGACATTGCCTATCAACAAAATGACTATGATGAAACTATAAAATGGCAGCAAAAATTAAATGATTTCAAAGATCGAATGACACCAGGTAATTGTGTGAACAAGTTTTTCATAGAATATTAGATTTTGAAAGAAATCTCAGCGTTATTGTAAGAGGTTGAAACATGAGCTGTCCAACTTTATCTATGAATAAATTTTCGATGAAGAACTTTTAAAGGCGCTTGTCAAAAATTCTGTAATAATTATATATTTTCGACCCTCATAAAACACTCTTAAGACTTTTATATTACTATTATGATTCAAGAGTCTAATCAACAAGAAAAAAAGTGAAACATTTTTTGAGAAATATCTCTGCATTATATTTGTTTAGATCAGCGTGAGTTTTACAAAAATCATAGCTGACAAGTAAGCTGCATAGCAAGCAAACTATGATGTATAAGTTTCTATGATTCTTTAAATACTGTCTGCATTTTTTATGATATGAGATCTACATAGTTTGAAGATAGAGTAATCTTGAAAATATCTGCTCACAGCTGCGCAAATAATCAATATTGCTAACTTTTATGGCACACGTGATTGAGAATGTGCCATATCACAATGGGTGAAAGTATTATTCATGTATGCTCGTCCATTTTCGATCCTTTCTTACACGTATGTATGTTGCTCACTTTGCTATCTTCTTCTTTCTGACCGATACTTTTCTTGGTTTATTTCGTTCTTGTAAGCGATTATTGAAGGATTTTAAAACTATTTTGTATGGTTTAAGATTATTCCATTCTTAGTTTAACGCAGTACATAAGTAGCTAGGTTGGCATGTGAACAAGGTCATTTTCTTTTAACCTGTTCTTGTTAAATTTATAAAATAAACGTCTTTATGAATTTAAAAAAAGAGAGTCTAAAACCAACTAAAGTATATATTGTAATTTAAGACAATACACGTAACTTTCGCCTATTTTAGAGGTGTCATCATCGGAAAATCCAGATAGAAAGGCGCCATTGCTGAAACGTTCAAATACTGGGCATCGAAAAAAACTGCGATTCGTCCTGTCGGGATGTATCTGTCTTCCAGTCATTTTGCTTGGGATTCTGCTATATTTACAGATTACCTCAAACCGTAAGTAGAGGCAGCGCCACGATTTTTGGTATGTAAACAACTATTTGAGGAAATGAAGAAAGGAGAAGGATGCTCTCACAAAGCAAAGGTGCAGAATCTGCTGATAATATGATCAACTTTTTGCCTCACTCTCAAATTTTTTCAAAAGTTTCCCCGGTTAAAAAAGCAACAAACACATCTTTACGTCGTAGAGCTCTGAAAAATTTCTCGAACGCGCACACGGGTAGATTCTGCACCTCTATACCCGGGTCAAAAATGGTGACTTTATATATACAAGTAATAATGATTATAAATAACGCGTTATATGCTTCTTTATATGAGGAAAATGTTTTTTATAACTTAATTATATACATATTTTTCTCGCGGAAAAGCCTAAACGTATAGGAATAGTGCTTTTTTTCGTGGGAAAAATGACTTGGAAAAATGTAAAAATGAGTTGTATATGAAAAAATTCTTTTTATTCATGACTTATTGGGATATATCCTTGGTAGAAAGATGAGAATATGTAGGTTATGATATCTTAAGTTTCAGCAAAATATACGATTCTTATAATGTGATATTCATGATGTGATGAAGAAAAGTTATCATATATTGTTGGTAGTGCTGCAAATTTATGATCTATCTTCGATTTATGGATAGTTTCACGGCACTGTCGTTATGCTAAATAGTATTTTCTGCAGTCTGTTTTAATAATGTATACCTTTGTTTCTCATGCTTTGCTTTGTTTGTAGTCATTTCTATTGAACTGAACGTGCTGTTTTATAATGCAATCTCTCGCACATGGTTGACCTGATTCGATCTTTATTTTAGCCTTGCTGTTTTTCTTGTGTTTGTATATATGTACACAGCTCTTTGTAAATAAATTACGAAGAGAAAACATACATACTCCAAATAAATCACGAACATAAAGTGTCATTCCTTCTTTACGAGCGTCAACGCGTGCATGGCTAGTATATTCGAATTTTTCCATTATTTCTATGACAATGCGCTGCTTATGATATGTTCTAACATATATATATATATGTCAGAGTACAGAATAGAATTCTAATTTGAACTAGGACAATTCCAAACTGAACTGAATTCTATTCTGTACTCCGACATATATATATATAACAAACAACCGATAAGTGAATATATCCATAAATACCATGACAGTTCAAAAAAATTTCCTATTGTCATAATGTCACAAAACTGATTATCTTTTTCTATGTTATAGTACCGACTTGTACGGATGGTGTTAAGAACCAAGATGAAACCGATGTGGATTGCGGTGGTGCAAACTGCTCGAAAATATGCTTACCTCAGCAAGGTTGTAAGTCAAGCTCAGACTGTACAAGTAACAAGTGTGATACAACAACTAAGAAATGTCTAAGTAAGAAAGATTTTTCGATCCTTTTATATTGCTGATATATCATCTTTGTTAGTAGATAATGCGTAGAAATAATAAAGTTCAATCTATGGAGAGTCGTGTCAAGATTGATTCACTATAAGTTCTTAATAAGCTACTTTTTGTTGAGAAGATCAAGTTAGTCAAAAAGTAAAGATTTCTTCGGAGTATTATTACTCATCATAGAACCGTATAATACTAAGAAAAGGCGTGGTTTTTTAGGTAGGGTGAAAGTTTAATGTGATATTCTAAAAACAAGAACTTCAAAACGGAATGCCAAATCAGTATTCCATTTCAAAAATGTTGAAGACCTCATTCTAGTCTTTTAAGAAATCAGTTAAAATTGTAGCAGAACAGAAAAATGAATATTTGTTCAGATAGAGATTCAATACAGTAAAGACAGCTGTTGAGTTATTTTTAGGTCAGAAATATGGGTCAGGAAAGTTGTTTGTCGAACAGTTGCACTCAGGAAACATCAGTCTGTCCTATAACAATGATATCATACTACATACTATTCCTCAAATTTATCATTCTTATATTCAAAAGTAGTTGTTCACTCGGAGGGGTGTGAGTGTGAGTGCAAATTGAATCGAGCATCCACACTGACACCAACATCTATACCCATCCTCAAGATGGTTTCCTGCAAAATAGCAAGCGTTATTTGAAAAGATTCTCACAGAAAGTCCACATCTATCTTTATGACTTGAGCGTGAGCGTGATCGTTGCGTATCTAAGCAATGGGTGTCGAAATTTGATGTCCACTGATTTGTGAAAGAAAATTAAATAAGTCTTCCTCGATGTGAATAAAGTTTTTAAATAGGAACTATACAATAGTATCCATGTAGTTTGCTTGTGTTTTTCTAATAACTATCTTTTGTTTTGTTTTGATTTCTATCTAGGTCATACATTTGCAGATGAATTCAATCAAAACGGCGGGGTAGATATGAGTAAATGGAAATTCGACGTTGTAAGTGATGGCGGGGGAAATGAAGAAGAGCAGTATTACACTGATAGTTATCGGAAGAATGCATGGTGTGAAAATGGGCAGTTGATCATTGAAGCACGAAAGGAAAACTATGAAAACAAGCGGTTTACATCCGCAAGATTGATAAGTAAACAAGCTTTTCTTTATGGACGACTACAGGTAAGTTCTTTGCTGTTTTTTAATAAGAAATTAAAAGTCGACACTTACGAACGTACTCCACAATTCTATAGATTCGAGCAAAACTTCCATCCGCCAAAGGTACCTGGTCTTCACTTTATCTGGTGAGTAATCTGAATGACATAAAAAAAATTGTTGCCATTAAAGCTAATTGCGCTTGACTTGCGTTTTTTTTAGATACCTAAGAACCGGACTTATGGAAATATTATGTGGCCAGACAATGGTGCAATTTATTTGATGGCACACCTTGGACATGACTGGACAACAGTTACTGCTGGCATTGCTACAAAGTCGAACAATGGGGAATGGAACGCGGTTGAAGTCAGTAATGCAACAATAGAATATATGATTTATACGCGTACGTTTTCGTATTTTATATTGGAAATGATTTAAACAATGTAATGTATTTTCTTTGTTTAGTTCAATGGGAACCAGACAAAATGGAAATGTTTGTCGGTTCCAATGAAAAACAAGCACTTCTGACACGTTTCTTCGTTTGGGAAAAGAAAAATAAAGATTGGACACAATGGTAAGCTGTGTAGAGTGAAATCTAGCTGACAGATTTTATTCCTCTCTGTATTTCAGGCCATTTGATAAACCGTTCCGTATACATATGAATCTCGCCGTTGGTGGAAGCGCGTAAGAATTGTTGACAATCCTTCTTTCTTTATATTGCATGATGAAAATTTATGTGATTTTTGTTTCAGAGGTGGTAGACACGGTATTGATGAAGGAGCCTTTCCTCAAAGAATGGAAATCGATTGGGTTCGTTTCGATGAACAATAGCAAGGAAAAAATAGCGGATTACTCATTCAATTAATTATCCTAATCAATACACTAATGAACTCTAATTACTACTATTCATTTCTAATCACTTCTAATAAACTCGAACCAATACCAATCAAATACAAACCAACTCTAATCGTTTCTAATTGAGTATAATCCCTAACATTAAACGAAAATTCACAATTAGGATAAATTCCTTTTGTATAAACATGTAGACCAATATATTGTCGAAATGAAAAACTGGGTGTGAGTGTGGGTGTGGATACCATATTCGCCTAGCACCCACATCCATCTTTTCAAAGTGTAATATTATAGAAAGATGTTTACTAAGAAGAGAATTTCGATAATTCTCTTTGTGATTATTAATTTAATTAATTAATAAAACTAGTTACATTTTCTTCATATTTATTAGTGAAGAAAAACATTTTGTGTAACAAGTTTCCATGATTAGTAATTGAAAATCATATTTGTAATAAAAATGATATAAAATAAATCTTTAAAAAGGATATATTGAAAAGTTTTCTTGTTTTATCATGATTATATATTGATATTTTATGATAAACATATAAATAAATTATGTTTGATTTTAATTCATTGATATTTATTTGATTATTTTAGAAGTCTTTATCGTATTATTTATTTCTTCTCTTTCATTTTGTTTTATTTCGATTTTGATTGAATTTATTTTTATCAGTTGTCTTTTACTATTTCGCTTTTCTTTATTACTTTAATGTTGATTCAATAAGAAAGACTAAAAAATAAAACGTATTTCTAATTCAGAGTTTAAATATTTATTAATTTACTTTTTATTATACAAACATTTTAATTCAAATCATGTTCGTTTTTTTCATTATCAAATTTACATAACAAAGAAAATCAAAAAAATCTTTTCTCACTTTCGATTTTTCTTTTCTTTCTAAATAAAATATTTCTCAATTTATCTCAAAAAGTAAGTTGTCTTTCAATAAAGTCTTTCGCATCTAAATTTCGATTCGAAAATAATAGATTTCAGATTGACTTTTCTTTTCAAAACAAAATATTTTTTCATTTTAGTTTACAAAGTTTACTCAAAAAAAACATTTAAGGATTGTTTTTATTAAAATAGTTTTCAAAAGAATTTATTTTTATTTTCCAAATATAAAACTACAAATGGTTGATGTTCTTTTTCAGTAGAATTTTTTTTCAAAATTCAACAATAAAAATATCAAATAAAATTTGTCATTCCACTAAACATGTTTATGAACATTTCATTCCAAAATATTCTTTTCTCTTTCCTTTCATGACAAACAAGTTTTCTTCTCTTCATCAAAATCTTTTATTTTTATTCCTCCCTAGAACTAAAACTCAGCAAATGGAAACAAAATGGCATCAGCATGACAGGTGGAAATAAAAAAATGAACTCAATCAACTTAATTTTCCTCGTTTTGTCTTTGTTGATGAACATCAATCGGTTTATATATCAGATACATTCAAGCATCGTGTGATGAAATGGAGAAGAGATGCAAAAGAAGGAACAGTTATGGCTGGCGGAAATCTCAATCAATTATATCGACCTCAAGGAGTCATTATTGATTATTTAGGTCAAATCTATGTGGCAGATCGTGAGAATGACCGAATAATGCGTTGGTGCGAAGGAAAAGGTGAAGTTGCTGTTGGTGGAAATGGTGAAGAAAATCAATCGAATGGTCCTCCAGGTTTATCTCTTGATGATGAAGGAAATCTTTATGTTGTTGATTTATGAAATAATCGAATTGTAAAATTTGAAATAATTTTGTAAATAAAATTTTGATTTTGAAAAAAAGAAAAGAACTTTTTTGTTAAATAAAACATTGAGAATAAAAATAAAAGAAAAAGTGAAGTTGTATTATTGAAAATCAATAAAAAAAATCGATTAAAATTCGAAAATGACATATTTTAGCAAAAGCACAAAAAAAATCTCTGTGGTTTTTTTTTGTGAAAATTGAATTTAATTTGATAATTTCGATTTTATATTTAGGAAATGCTTCAATTCTTTATAATTCACAACCTTTATTAAAACGAAAACAAAAAACAAAATTAAAATTTGAAGAACAAAGAATTAATTGAAAAAATTGATTCTATTCAAACAAATATTGAACCTTCGTGTGAAAATTCTTCTTGTTTACAAGAAGAAATTAATTGGATAACAACTTCTCGTAAACAAGGTAAACATAAATCAACACCTATTTCATCTGCACCTATTAATACAAAACAAAAACGACAACAGACAAATATTAAATCTAAAACGCCAATTCTTGTTCAACAAAAAGTCACATCATAAGTAATATCAAATAGTAATAAACCACAGCATATTACAAACATTCCTGCAATACATGTCCATAATCCAGTGAATAATCAACAAGAACAAAAGATTAAATCATCGTCATCAGCTTGATCAAATCGTGAAGAAACATAAGGTATGGATTATTTAGTTAAACTATCATCGACCCTTCTTGCAACAGCACCAGTTTTTATTCCATCTTCTTCTCTTGTTCAACCAAATAAAACCAATGATATTCTTCCAATTGAAGATACAACTTCTTCCTACTGAAATTCAAATGATTATCGTTCATCTAATCCTGTTCAGCAACCTTCATCAGAATTACATAATACTAGTACTTTTCCAACTTATTCATCAATGAATTATGCTATGGATAATTCAAATTCAACATGAAATGATATATCTGTGACAAATTCAAATCAATTCCAATGGGAATATTCACATGATGAACAACAACCTCAAACATCAACTATTCCAAATGATTTTCCACTTTATGATCCATTTAATAGTAATACTGGATTAAATATTCCATCATCAACTATACTTACTCATATATAAATTCCACAAGTTAATGATGTCGATGAAATGGACGCACTTGATAAAGAAATTGAAGGTTTTAAAAAGTAATTTATTTCTATTGGATTTTGTTCCACTTAAATATCTGTTCTTTAATTTTTGGATGTTATATTGATAATATTTTATTAGATCAACGCGAAAGAAAAACAACTTAGTATTAATCCTTGTTTTATTCATCAATTTTAAAAAATAATAGATAGTTTTTACTTTCTCTTACTTTTATCATTTATTGCATGTTTATTGTATAAATCTATCATAGATTCGAAGAGATAGTGTAAAACAGTATAACTTTAGAATAACATAAATTGAAGCAATTTGTTGTTGTAGTTCAACAATTTTCAATACTATTTTCATATGTATCACGTTCAAATTAGTTTGAAGTAACCAAAAGTAGATGTTATCATAATAGTGTATATTATTTCATATGTTGTTATAATAAGAATCATATTAATGAATCAATACATTTATATGAAAAGTACTGGTAACCATATTTCTCCAGGTTTTTATTATTTTTCGGTATATAGTACAATTAAAATATGTTGAAATTGACTATGCATTAGGTAACAAGAATTATATGTATGTTCAATTTATCTTAAATAAGGATAGATTCCAACGAATTCTTGTTGTGTTTTTGTGATTTCGAATGTAAATTGTGTTTTGTTTTTTTCTCATTTCATGATCAGTATCATATTACATGTTAAAAGATAATTTTTTAAATTGCGTTTTTGTAATCCATCGGAGCTATTTGTAAGAGGTCATTCTTCTTCTTTGTTATAAATTAAATGTAATAAATACCTATCATAACGTGAGGAAAAAACCAAGCTATACCAGTTTCGGAGTTAAAATAAGGAGATGGTTACTGTTTAGCCTTTTATTTATTTTCAAAACAAAGACAACATACTAATACACAATCACAGGTATAGAAATTGTTTCATAAGAGTCAGCGAGACGTTTAAAAATATAAAAAATGTGTAGAAAAAGAAGAAGATGTGAATCATATTTGAGAGGATCATACAAAATTTTGTTACTCAATTTTATATGGATCATGACTGCCAATTATCTTATAAGGAAGCTGTTGATAAAATATTCTATAGACTTTGAGTTCTTTTGCTAAATCAAAGTTTCATTCATAAGTAGATAAACCCGTTAAAAGACAATCAAGTACCACTATCCTCCATAAGTTCGGCAATCGAGATACTATATATTTGTGTTCAAGCGTGGGTGTGGCAAATGAGTGACATCAACACTCACACCCTTCTTATTTCTATATGATTTTAGATTATTCTTTTCTTTGATCAATTCACAATGTTATTTCCAAAATAATGGAAATGATTCCACTTCTTGAAACTCCTAAAGAATCTATTAGAAAAAGAAATGACAATCATCTTGAAAGCTTCAGCCTTATCTGGCTTAATAATAATGAAAATGTTGATATCCAAAGAGAATTACGTAATATAATTAATCATATTGAAACATTTGATGACGTTGAGGAATGTAAAGATTATATTGAAAAAACATCAGAAAATGATCGATTAGTTCTTGTTACGAATGGTGAATTCGGTCAACAAATTATTCCTTCAATTCATCAATTAAGACAAATCTCATCAATTTACATCAATTCAGAAGATAAACAATGGACAGATGATTTTGACAAGGTAAACAAAAAAGTATTAATAAAGTTTAATTTCAATAATTATTTTTCTAGTTAAAAGGTGTCCATGTTGAAATGGATGAACTGGTTTCACAAATCCATGAAGATCATAAAAATCCTCGAAAAATAGAAGAACCTGTATGGATGAATATGTTTACAACAATAAATGATGCAGGAAAATCAACAACAGGAATCAATGGTCAATTTGCATTTTCTCAATTATTACTTGATTGTCTTCTTCGATTAAAATCAAATGAAAATGATCGGAATGAATTAATTTCATGTTGTGAAAAAGAATATGAAGGAAATCAAAATGAATTAAATCATCTTCAAGAATTTCAGAGTAGTTATTCATCGGATAATGTTTTATGGTGGTATACTCGTGAATCTTTCTTTTATAAAACATTGAATGCAGCTTTAAGAAAAGAAAGTATTCATATGATTTATTTATATCGTTCATTTATTATTGATATACAAAATCAATTAGAAAAACATCAATGCCAATGTGCTACTCGTGTTTATCGAAGTCAATTAATATCAACTGATGAATTAAATTATCTTAAAAATAGTGTTGGGCAATATGTTTCAGTGAATTCATTTCTTTCGACGAGTTTTCAAAAAGAAATTGCAAATTTTTATCTGGGTGATACAAATCATCGATGGACCGATTTTGAAAAAGTTTTATTTGAAATTGATGCTGATCCGAACGTTGTTACAACAAAACCATTTGCTGATATTAGTCAATTTAGTGATTTTCTTGATGAATCAGAAGTTCTTTTTATGGTTGGATCAATATTTCGTTTAAATTCAATTATTCATGATGATGAAAATCAAATTTGGATTATTGAAATGTGTTTATGTAGTGATAATGAACATAATTTAAAACAAATTCTTATGGATATGAAAAATGAAATTGGAAATGGTGAAACAAATCTTTGTATTCTAGGAAAAGTTGTACGAAGAATGGGTCATCTCGATTTAGCGAAGACATATTATTATCGTTGTTTAGATGAACTTTCACAAAATGATCCTTTAGTTCTTACTGTTTATAAAGATTTGGCTAAAATTGCTTCTCAACAAAAAGATTATGAAGAACATCTTCGACTGAGACGTATTTTAGCGGAAATCAAAGAGAAAATACAATTAAATGAGATTGAGATTGAGATAAGTCAAACAGATAAATTAACTTACAATGGTAAAACAAATATGTTCATTTTTTCAGATCTCGATACATACTATTGATCTGTCATTTTAGACACAATACAAAAACGAAAATCAAAAAATTATATGCTATGTAATTGGGATTTAAAATTATTGATATGTAGTTTTATTCTTATTTTGATGATTGGAACTGGAATATTTGCATTAAGATATATGATTACAAAAAATCCATCAACATCTTCAGAAGAATGGAGTAAGTCACGCTGGTACAGGTGATAAATCGTTGTGTTTTTAATTTCATCAATCAATGAATGAATGATAAATTTTCCTAAATAAAAAAAAGAATTCAATAAGTAGTGGGTGGTTGGATATGAATGAGTGCCACCTCCACACCTTACATCCCACACCCACAGCTCCAAAACGTTTTATATTGCCATAGTGTCATAAAGTTGATTATGTTTTTCTTTGTTATAGCACCGACTTGTACGGATGGTATTAAGAATCACGATGAAACCGATGTCGACTGTGGTGGTACAGCTTGCTCGAAAAAATGTTTACCTCAGCAAGGTTGTAAGTCAAACTCAGACTGTACAAGTAACAACTGCAATACAACAACGAAGAAATGTCTAAGTAGGAAAGATTTTTAAATCCCTTTATATTGCTGATATATCATCTTTGTTAGTACTTAATGTAGAGAAATAATAAAATTCAATCTGCGGAGACTAATGTTAAGATTGGAGAAGAACAGAAAAATGAATATTTTATTTAGATAGAGATTTGATACAATAACGACAACTGCAGAGTTATTTTCAAGTCAGAAATATAGGCCCAAGAAAGTTGTTTGTCGAACAGTTGCGCCCAGAAAACACTAGTCTATTCTATAATAATGATATCAACTACATGCTATTTCTCATTCCCATATTCAAAAGTAATTATTTACTCGGAAGAGCATGGATATAGATTGAACCAAATATTCACATTGACCCCGGCATCTACACCCACACCCCACATCCAATAGTTCTAAATTTATAGGACATATCTATGTACAAGTAACGCTCGTCTAAAGACTCGCTCACCGCTTTCTTGTAGAAATCGCGTTACTAAACAACAACCAAGCTATTGATTTATATAACTAAACGAAATAGAAGTCATATTTGAATCCTGTGACTCCGATTAATCTTCGGTCAACCCATATAAGAAACGTTTTTTGTAAAAAAACTGGTCCTTTGTGGGAAAATTTTTATCCTCAAATGTTTAGAATTTTAATTTTGAACTGAAGAGTTTGTATATTGTTGTACATAATTCTCCTTGAAAAATAAAATTCGTTCTTAGTTCTTGTATAATTCTGATGAAAGTACTGGATTAAATGTAATAAATATGTATGTATTCTAATATAAAAACCATATCAAGAAAATTCTAGAATTCTGCTAGTGAGAATTTTCCCACTGCTGTTAGTAAGCATACAGCCTTGATTTACTTACAGGAACGTCTTTAACGCATTTGGTTTTCACAAACTATCGTGGCACAAACGTCGACTTGTTTAAAACTCAAGTTGGTGTGGATCAGGAGCCACAATCTGTTGAAACCTTAGTACCTGGGTAGGTGCAGATAGCAAAAAACATGCTAGAAGTCGTTCGTGATGTTTTATCGATGAAATCAGTTATATTTCCCTTTTTTTTACATTAGGCAAACACACGATGAATATTTGCCGGATGGTTGGGCGGGTACCTTCTCAAATGGTGCGCCCGAAAAAAATACTTTGTTTGAAATAAGTATTCGAACGCATAATATAAATCAAATTTACTATGATCTGAACAATGTTCACGGAAATGATGGAGTAATGAGTGTTCAAGCTCCGGATGGGTACGTGATTTTGACATAAAAAACAAATAATTGAAACTATGAGTATTTTCTTTTCATTTCGATGTTAGGACATTTCTTCAATCTCCGCAAGATGCTTATCAATACCCTACAGACGATTCAAAAACTCGTAGTGATGTAGGAATAATTGGAACATACCACATCGGATTCCATTGAAGAAAAGAGGGAAGAAAGTGATATTATTTTGAAAATTTTAAGAAACCCTTTTTTCCCAGCTGTGTGAATGTAGCGACGTTTGACGTTTATTTTAGTCAAGTTTTAATACAAATTCACAATCTAGAAAAAAGAGATTGCATATCTACAAATCTCTGCCTTTCTAATACTTCTTAAACACAGATTCTTGATTGTGTTAGTTCGAATAACTGAAGAAGAATAAACATAATATTTCTCCATAGTATCAATAAAGCGCTGATCTGTATCCTTTAGCTGATATTTTCGTTATCGAAATCGAATAAATATTTTTTACTCTTTATGTAAGGATGTTTGGAATCAATGTTGAATTTCCATTTTGAAAATTCTACATGATATCACTTGGTGTTGTATCTTTTGTTTAAACCACTTTTCAACATCTTCAGTGTGTGGCTTAACAGGGGAGACACTCACACCCTCAAGATACGCAATCGCTCCTCGTTTCATTAACCATTCCAATGAGGAAGGAGTTAGCGAGAGCGGACATTTGAAACGGTAAGGATGCAAAGACAGATACAGACCATCTGACTAAGTGAGGACGAAGGAATGGCGTGACATACAGCGCATCTAAATGAATGAAAACAAGGACAAAAAGAGAGATACACAGCGTTTGTTATGTAATTTTTTTTCTTTTGTTTTTGATCATATAAGAATATGATTTAATCAATTTATATTTATATTTGAAGCCAAATTCAACAACTACTCGTTTTTCGAAGGTCAATAAAATAAACTACTAGCTGACTAATATATCATGACACACACAATAATAAAGAGGTTTCTTCGTCAATAAATCCTCTAGTAACTGATACTGTCATTGAAAAACGGCGAATTACGGATAAGTCTATCATGTTGTTGTGGAGAGCTTAATGGGTTGTGCTTAGAACAACACTAAAACATTTGGAACATGTTTCTAAGCGAATCACTGGTAGAATTACTTGATTCCACCATCAAATTCACTTACGCAAATTTCAAAAATGAATGCTACATTTATTTCATTGTTTATTTTAGTTAAAAACAAAAAAATTAGTCCATTCGATGAAAGTTGATTTAACTTAGCAAAAAATTGTTAAACACGAATCATTTCAAATTTTTGAATTTGATTATTCTCTTGATCAGCAACATAAAGATTACGTTTACTATCAAACGACAAACCACTAGGAAAAAATTGGTTCGATTTTGTTTTGTTCCTATTTCCACCAACAACAATTTCACCTTCTTTATCTTTTTTACGCCAACGCATTACTCGATGGTTATCACGATCTGCCACATAGATTTCACCCAAATGATCAACAATAATTCCTTGCGGATTTGACAATTGTGAAAGGCTATATCCATGACCATTTCCTCCAGCCACAATTATTCCATCTTTTGCATCTTTTTCCCATTTCATCACACGATGATTTCTCATATCAGATACATAAAGAGAATAATCGTCATCAACAAAGATATAAGTAGGAACATTCAGTTGATCGGAATGGTTTCCTTTTCCGTTTCCTCCGGCCACTATCGTTCCATTTCTATCTCCTTTTTTCCATCGTCTTACTTCATTTTTCGTCCAATCAGAAACGTATATGGATTCATTTTTGTCCATTGTAAGACCAGAACAGTGAATATTAGGAATAAGAATCTTTGGTTTTTTTTTAATTTGTTTTGATAATCGGATTACTCGTCCATTCATAAAATCACAAATGATCAACGAATTATTTCGTTTGTCATTAATTATACTTTTCGGATATATAAACTGATTAGTTCCATGTTCATATGTATTCCCACCTGCAATGATTTGACCAGTCGTCTCGTTAGATTTCCATTGAATAATACGATTATTAAAAAAATCAGCAATATATATTGTTGTATCATTATCAATAAAGATTCCTTGAGGACCATCGAGCTGATTTAATTTATGTCCTATTCCATTTCCTCCACAAACTGTAATTCCATCCTGTTTCCATTCCACGCTTTCTAAACCTGCAAGAAATATTTTCATATGAAGCTTATGGAACTGAAACAAGCCTTTTGTTGAAAAAAATTTTAGGACCCATAGTGACTTGCTATAAAACAGAGGGTAGGATGTTTCAAGACATCGGTATCTCAGAAAATCTATAAAATGGTTTTTGGAGTGGGCTCACGTTCAACAAAGAACATGAATGTTGCATTCTCTCAATCTATATCTTCGTGACTTTATAGTACTAGCAACCGAACATGTTTAATCAATAAAATAGCTATCTCTTATACATATAATTGCGGATGCTTTTTAATTATACGAACTAAGTAACATTGTTAATGAAATAAAATATTCAAGAAGTGCCACTATACCTGTTCGTGTATTGGCGATTGTAGGATTATTCTGATTGACATCATTGTAGCCATTTCCAACTGGAATGTATTTCACTAAATATATCCCAATCCCCAGCGTTATGGCGAAAAGAAAGATAAATCCAAATACGTAGCATCGTAGTGTATTTCGAGATCCAATACCTGGCAGTTTCTTTGATGATCTACCTAAAATAGATAAAAGTGAGATATTATATTATCTAAAATTGTAAGATATACTCTAGTTGACAACATTGATTACTTACATAGTTGTAAGTGGATGTTCTTCAAATTAGACTATTTTGAAACTGCATAGTATCTCTACCGTAAAAAATGTAGACAATGCTCAAAGAATGATAGAAAACTGTGTGTAACAGTTTGTTTACTACGCAGCTTACTCGTCAGCTATGATTTTTGTAAAACGTACGTTGATCTAACCAAATATAATGCAGAGATATTTCTCACCTCAAAATTTAACTATAAATAACACTCACTTATTTTGGCATCTTGTAAAATTTTTGGCTTCTTTAATTGAGATTTTGCATTGTCACATATTAAGAACTATGAAGCATGAAAAAAATAGAAACAAGCAGGCATTTAGTTCAGTATATAGCATGAACTTATTCGGAAGGATAAATCATAATAATTCAATTTACTTTTTTCCTTGTCGATCAGACTCTTTAATCTATTACAAATTCTTAAAATAGAGTTGATAGCTCCTTCGAAATCTAATAATTTATGGAAAACTGAATCACTTTGACTGGAAATTGTATAGTCTTGAAACTATCACGATGTATAAATTAGATTATCTTACTATTTACGTGACCGTTGTTGTTTGATATCTTCTTTTCAGCGTCCGATAATTTTTGCTGCCATTTCATACTTTCGTTATAGTTATTTTGTTGAGAAGTAATCTCAGCAAGATCTTCATACGCTTTGAAAAGTAAAGAGTCATTATCCGAAAGTTCATTGACACAACGAATATAGTACATTTTAGCTTGATCAAATTTGCCCATTTTCCATAACATCTTACTAAATGTATATAGATTTATCTCTCCAATACCATTTTGCTTCTTCATGTGTCCAAGAATTTCCTTTAAACTGTACTCATCATCATTACATAAGGACATTCCAATGATCCAACCTTGATTGTCATCATAGTCGATAGTATTGAGACGAAAAATAGAATTTGGCATAAAGAGTACTTCTAATTCAAGAAAAAAATCACTATACTTGCTGATGTCAGCAAATGGTTTGGTTGTAACTACTTTAGGATCAGCATCAATCTCAAATAAAACTTGTTCGAAACTGTTCTGTTGAGTTGTATCGACATCTTTATAGAAGTCAGTTATCGGTTTTCGTCTAGTTGTGGATAGAAATGATTTCACGGAAACTAACTGTCCACGATAATTCTGAAGATCATATAACGCATCAATTGACATTTGCTGCCTTCGGTATACTCGAACAGAACATTTAGATTGACATTGCTGCAACTGATGATATGTATCAGTAAGGAAAGAACGATATAGAAACATCATATGAATATTTTGCGTGCATAAAGCTGCGTTGAGAGTCTTATAAAAGAATGATTCGCGAGTATACCACCATAATGCCTTTTCAGGCGAATATTCGTTTTGAAATTCATTCAGATTAGCAAGTTCAACATGATTTCCTTCGTATTCTTTCTTGCAACAACGGATTAATTCATTTTTATCCATCTCATTGGATGTTAATCGAAGAAGACAATCGATAAGTAGTTGAGAAAAAACAAATGGACTATTGACAACCGTTGATACCCCTTCTGCATCACTAGTTGTCGTGTGCATGTTGATCCAGACTAGTTCTTCCGTGTTGCTTCGATGTTTATGATCTTCAATGATTCGAGATACCAACATTTCAAGATCACTCTTAATAGTCTTCAACTAAAACAACAATACTACATGATTAACATTTCTCAAAACAGCAAATCTATACTTTAGGAAAATTACGAGCCCAGATTTTATCGTTTTCTTTGTCTTCAGAATAAATATAAATTGCTGAAATATGTTGAAGTTGATGAATTAAAGGAACTAATTGTTGACCCAACTGACCACTAATAAGAAGTACTAATTTATCATCTTTTGATGCTTCTTCGATATACTTTTTACATTTGTCCAAATCATCAAATTTCTTGATATGATTAATAGTACTACGAAGCATTTCTTCAATATCTTCATGCTTCTGGTCACAATTGATATTGGTCTCTAACCAGATAAGAGTAAATGTTTCAAGATGATTGTCTTCTCTCTTGAAAAAGTGATTTTCATCAGACATATCATTCATCTCCATCATAATAAAAAAATAATGAAATTCTAATTTATCTAAAACATATCTCTATGATACTCTTACTTTGTAAAATACATAAAAATTGACGAACACTCAAAAAAATAGTTTACATGAGTTTCGAATGATTATAATTTATTGTTCAATAAAAAACAATAAAAATAATAAAAATAGGGAGAAAATGAAAACATAATTAAATTACTATATATCATCTTATGTGTGATTATATTAAAAATAGTCTGAATATCGAATACAACAGATCAGTTGAAAAAAAAAGTTAAGAATAGAGATCAATAGAAATTATTATCGATATCCTATCATTTTCAAATGTTAATTTAGCTATGAATTTTGTTGAAAAAAAAATCGTTGATGAATAATTATTGATCAACAGTTTTGGGATATTTCAATAAATTGCGATCTATCAATGATTTTTCTATACAAACTTGAATGATTAAGATAATATTTTATATTTACTTTACTGGGTAAAATAAAAGGAAGTTTCTTATCGCTCCTTTTCGTTCTTTGTTCCTCTTCTTTCATAAAACAATAGTCACTCCTTAAATATTCAACGATATTTGTAGTACGTGAGAAAAATGAAAGAGAATTAGTATTCTTTATGGCATGTGATATATCATGCCATAACATTTTCCCTCCCTACCGATAGAAAAAAAGAAAAAATAATATGACAGAACGAAAACATCAAAAAAAACGACTAAAATAAAGAGCAGATAAAGTTATAGTAAAACTGAAACGTAAAACAATAATCGCAAAAGGTTGTTTAAAGAAGATGAAAGTAATGCATGAAAGAGATAATCATAATAAAAAGAAATGTAATCACCCAACTGCGTATAGATGCAACACTACTAAATATAAGTTATGATGAATTTGGACTTTCATTTCGAAGAACATTTATTATGAACATAAAATACTAGGAAGCTGCTAAGTATTGGAACAACTCTCGATATTCCGTGTTACACAGTATTTTCTTGCGGTAAGAGTAAGATATTGCTGTATCATCAACAAAGGTACGACGACAAGCGGTTATAGTAGGAGTTAATATACGACTACTATATGAAAAACATCACGCTATGGAACGAAGAGGTGACAACCTGTCGAAGCAGAGCAGAGAATGTGGATGTGATTATTTCTCTTTCACCCAGACCCTGATCCTCGTTAATACTGTTATTATGTTCATAATTGTCCATTGAAATGAAATTTAGCAACACTCAATATACTTTCCAAATAAAATATTCATTTACTAAAATCGAAAATATTCAGTAGTATTTTTATAATTGAAGAATATTCTTTTCTTCAAATTTCTCAGTTTTTGTCAATTGAAGAACTAGTAATCATATGAAAAACAGAGTGTTGTACATTTGAGTACATCTACTTCGAAATTGCATATTTTTCAAGTATTGATAGTTTAAGTAAAGATTTGTATGTGCGTATGTATTTTTTCCATGCTTGAAATTTTTCAACGCATTTTTTTTTCGGTCTCACTCTTCTAGCAACAAAGTGAACATCTTACAAAATAATCAAGTAACGTTCTACCATTCACTATGAACAAAATATTATCTTTGGCTGGAATTCATAGTATAAAATTTATCGTGTATATCATCTGAATCTTTTTATAAACGACACACATAGTATATATATCGTACTATCATTACATTTCTTTCCTAATACCCACGCCTTGTCGTACTCGACATCTCAAACAAAACACCGACTTATGTTATACAAAAATTACCGACAGAGAACGAAGAAGAAAGAAAAACATATAAGGAATGGATATATAACAAATTGATAACGTAAATAGAACACCGTACAGAAGCAAAATAGAGAAGATATTATTGTACAGAGCAGAAAGAGAGATAATGATAATTGATGGTACACCAAGCAGAGACAAAACGCATACACAGACATATTTAAAGACAAAAGCACTGTTGCGAATAACGAAGAAAAGAAAAAACTTTCACCACAAATACTAAAGATGTTGTTATCATTTCTTATTTCTCTACCTCTTACACACATATATATATATATAGATAGATACCGAGAGTAAGTCATAAATATGTTTATGCGGAAAAATTTCAGTATCTCCACTCTACCACAGCCTATTAGAGCTAATATTTCTTCCACGATAAGGAGACTTTAAAGATGTTTTCGGAAAGACATCACTGATAAAGCTTGTTACGAAGAATATAAGACAAAACATTTTTTACGAGTATGTATATTTTCACTTCTTTCTATAGCAAATTTTTTATAGAAATAATCATTTTTCTCATTCATTTTTCATTCATTTACTCACGCATTGTTTGTTGATTCTCTGTGAAACTCTTGCTAGAAAATATTCGATCATTGTCACGTTTCGATTGGCAATGCCGTCTTCTTCAGACTTTATTGATGAAAATTAGAAACTAGATTACAATAACACATTATATATACTACACTCGAATCTCTACATAAATAATAAAGAAAAGAATATCGAATAGGTTATATTGTATTATTGTAATGTTTCGACAACTAGTGTTACCTTTGTCAGTGAAAATAAAATGAAGTTATATGAAAAAGAACAACTGTATATATATATAGTATGACTCATTTTGTTATAATTAAATGAGGGAAAAAACGAGAAAGAAAGACTAATCAAATAATAAAAGTTTTATTATCTAATAAATTTGTTAAACTTTAGTTGCTCTCAAGCATCACGCTAAAGTCATTGAAAAATATTTAATTCATAGGTTTTTTTGCGAAAATATAATGCGATTAGGTTTCTCATGTACATTATCCATTAATAACCTTTCTTTTATTACTTTTTCAAATATCACTGATTTCTGCAGCTAATATTTTATGGTTCCAGTCATTTTTGTGTTTATATTGTATACAATGTTCTGCAATTTTGAATGTTTCTATTCTCTTTAACGTTTTCTTTCTTCGACATTTCTTGAGGTTTATCCTATGAAAGATTTTTTGCAATTTTGACAATCATATTGGTAGATAACTAGATTAGTAGCCTTTTTCTTTTCTTAATAGGTGGTACTAAATAACGAACATTATTCTCTTCTGAGGTAAATCTGATATTATTTCACTTTTTTGCGGGCTAAATGAATAAATAATCCATTATAATAAGGTAGCGAAATATAGATGTTTTGTGTATTATTATGAACTGCTTGTATGTTGTTATTTTTGTTTTTGTTTAACTGAAGTTTTCTCATTGCTTTCTTTATTATATTCTGTGGATAACTATTATCAATGAGTATTATCTTGTAATAATGTAATCCTTTTTTATTCTCTTTTTTGAAAGAGAGAATTATATGGAGCTTAAATTATGCTTAAAAATGTATAAAATCTGTCTATCTAAGCTAATCAGATTGTAGCAAAGTTTTATGACATAAAATTTAGTTTATTTTACCTGAAATGAAACTCAATCCAAGGTTTTTCAGATCGAGGCATCCGAATCTGAGATTAGTTCTTGAGTTAAGAGGATGAGAGATAGGCTTTCTAAATAAGTTTTGATCCGAAGTATATAAAGTTATGAGCGTGATGGTTACTGATACAAGTGTACGTATGGTATTTATTAGACTATCAGTCGCGCCGTTTAGTTAGATAACTAGCGGAAGAAAGGATGGTATCTTTTCATACCCTTCTAATATCATATTGAGATTCCTTTCTCGAAATGCTGATACTTAAGGTATCGAGAGTAAAGTATCATTGTGTTAGAGTGTGGTACTTCGTTCATAGCCATCGATCTCCAGGAAGATCAGACTCTCTCTTGACTTTGGAATGTAATATACAACGCTGAGTAGTCGGGAATGGCGGATCGAAAACATCGGATATTCAACAATAAAAAGGAAATTGATCATACGATGTATTTTCACCTTATCAATACATATGTCGTTATACAATTGAAAATTGAATCTGATAAGCCCTATTCGATGATGATCAGAGGTAATAAGTAAAAAAATATCATCCGAGTTGCCTTTAGCAGATGTAGTTGAGAAAAGACTTTCAGAATTGCGAAAGTCTAATATATCATTAGTTTTTCGATTGTTTCATCCAAGAGAAAGATTTTTCTTCTAAGAAGTGGTTTTCTGTCATCCGACGGAAGTCGAATGTTTGTCGAAGTCAGAAATTCAATTGTCTGTTTGAAATGTAGTAGACTCACTGCCAAATATACGAAAAAGAATGTGTACTACAAGAGTTCGAGTTATATAAGCGATCAAGTATGTTATATCGTTGTGATTATCTAGTGAAGTTCTCTCATCGGAAGGTATATCCAAACGATGATTATTATCAACCAGTTCCTATCGAATTGAATTTGTTCAGCTCCTACGTTTAACTAATCATACATTTCTTCCGTGGGATCTGTAGAATCAGGCTATTTGAAGCAAATATCCCAATTCATCCCATGTTTTCAAAGAACATTTCGCTTTTCGATATCTCTAACTATTTATACTCTCTCTCAGATGGACTTGAATTTTGAGACGACTGCAGCGAAGATGATACGATATTTGACATGGTTTCCAGACGAATTACTATACAGATCACGTGGAAAATATATTCAGATTAGCCCAAAGTTATATTCTTCTTCTTCATAATGATAACAACATGGTCACCAAATTCTGACGACATTGAAGACAAAAAAAACATCGATTTATTATATGATTTATGTAAGAAAAATGAAGTCGAAAAAATTCGAAAAATAATACCATTTATTGGCAACAAAAACATTATAAATCAAATTCAAACTTCGACTGGTTCAACATGCTTACATGTGGCATGCTATTATGGACATCGAGATGTGGTAGAGATTCTATTAAACTATGGCGCTCTACGCTCGATAAGAAATTTAAGGCATGATTTAACACCCTATGAAGAAGCTCATACAGATAGTATAAAACAGTTGTTTCTCGAACAACGAAAATTATTTTCCAACAATGATTATGATTACATTCAATGGTCCCTAGTCGGAGACGATCTTCTTGATAAGAGACGCAGTTTTCGTCAAATTATCGATGTGTATAAAACCTATGACAATCATACTCTAATATCAAAACTAATTGCTGAATTTATTCATTACTATTTAAATGACTATCTGTTGAATCTCAGCAGTGACACTGGCAACCCGGAAGATCGAATGACTCCTGATCAGATCAAAACTCTTGAAGATTGTTTTAGAAATGCCATCGAAAAAAAGGATTATTTAACATATTTTATCGAAGCGTATACATTAAACAGTGGTTTTCACAAGGTATTAAACAGACACTTGGCTATGTATATACTAGACTATTTTGATGAATCGAAACTTTTCCTACCAACATATCGTCTTGTTAATTGTCTTGCTCATATTGTCACACTTTTAATTCATCATCCGGATGTATCTCGATATCAATACCGAGGTTCATGTTATCGTGGTATGCGAATAACACAAAATGATTTGAATCAATACCAGTTAAATCAGCATATGCTCAATTGTTCGTTTCTATCAACATCTACCGATCGTGGAGTAGCGGAAATGTTTGCTGGCGAAGGAGAACAGTCGAATATGAGACATACTCCCAAAGGTGATAGAGCATTACAATATTCTTGTGTCTGCCAATATTCAATCAAACAAAGCGCAACAGCTATTGACATCCAAAAATTATCTATAAACTCCGATGAAAACGAAGTTTTAATTCTTCCCTTTACTGTTTTTAAAGTAGTCTCAATTAAATGGAATGATCTGGAGAAACCTGAAACAAAAATTTCAATTGAGATTGAATTAGAAGAATGTGATGATCCTAATGATCATCGTATAGCACCAGTTTCAACTAAGATTGAATTAGAAGAATGCGATGATCCTGATGATCATCCCAAACAATTAGAAAAAATTAAAAAAATCAAACGATTCAAGTATTGCAGCATCAAGGGATTATTATTACAATTAGTTTTGCTTTTTCTTTTAATTATAACAATTTTTATTGTTTTCAAAAACACCAAACGCTTCAATAAAACTGGCACACACGGGACAACATCTATCCCTCAATTATTACAAGGTAAACATTTTTTAGCATAATCTCGATACAATTAAAAGGTGTAATATAAGGGACGCCATCTTAGCTATTATTCGCGTTTATAATTGGTGAGCTCAACATCGATAAATGAATAACTACATATCATCATTGTGTACACAACAGATTGAAAGATTTCTGACGCTGTATAACTTACGTCGCGACGGTAGTGAAGTGTGTGAAAGCTGACAAAGACTTCTCTTCTTTTCTTGTTGATTTTTCGAAGATTTTTTAGAGTAAAAGTCGCAAAGACAACGTAGCTTGTATTACTCGTGTATTTATTTAATCGATCGGAGTGGTACGGACCTCTTCTAATGAACATAGATCTTAACGAAGTTCTCTCGAGAAATAGTTTGTCCGCAAGCCAGACGATGCTCAAAGTTTCAAATAAGTATTCTCACTATTGATTTTAATCTGAGCCTGATTCTTGCACAAGCAGAAATGAATGTAGCGCTGTCTGTGAGTGTGAGTGTGGGTGGGTGGATGTGAATGAGTGTCACACCCACACTCATTCCTACCGCCACACCTCGTATCCCGCACCCACACTCAAACCCTTACTCACACGCACAATAATAGCTTCAAAACGTTTCATATTGTCATAATGTTAAAAAATCAATTATCTTTTTCTTTGTTTTAGCACCGACTTGTAAGGATGGTATGAAGAACCTAGATGAAACCGACGTCGATTGCGGTGGTGAAACTTGCAAGCGAAAATGTTCACCTCAGCAAGGTTGTGACTCAAACTCAGACTGTACAAGTAACAACTGTAATACAACAACGAAGAAATGTCTAAGTAGGAAAAATTCTCAGATTCCTTCATATTGCTGATATATGGTCTTTGTTATAGCACCGACTTGTACGGATGGTGTGAAGAATCAAGATGAAATCGATGTCGATTGTGGTGGTACAGTTTGCGCGTCAAAATGTTTACCTCAGGAAGGTTGTAGGTCAAGCTCAGACTGTACAAGTAACAACTGTGATATAACAACGAAGAAATGTCAAAGTAGGAAAGATTTTCAGATACCCTTATATTGCTGATATATGATCTTTGTTATAGCACCGACTTGTACGGATGGTGTTAAGAATCAAGATGAAACCGATGTTGATTGTGGTGGTGCAACTTGCTCGAAAAAATGTTTATATCAGCAAGGTTGTAGGTCAAGCGCAGACTGTGCATGTAGCAAATGTGATACAACAACGAAGAAATGTCTAAGTAGGAAAGATTTTTAGAGCCTTTTATGTTGCTGATATATGATCTCTGTTAGTATTTAACATACAGAAATAATAAAGTTCAATCTATGGGGAGTAATGTCAAGATTGATTCACTAGAAATTCTGAATAAACTATTTTTTGTTGACAAGATCAAGTTAGTCAAAAGCTAAGCATTTCTTCAGAGTATTATTTTCCATCATACAAGTGTATAATACTTTAAGGAAACGCGTAGTTTTGGGTAGAGTGAAAGTTTAATGTGATATTCTAAAAACAGGAAGTTCAGAACGGAATTGCCAAACCAGTATTCTATTTCAAAAATGTTGAAGACTTGATTCTAGTCTTTTAAAAACTCAGTTAAAATTGTAGAAGAAGAGAAAAATGAATATTTGTTTAGATGGAGATTCAATACAATAACCACAGCTGTAGAGTTATTTTCAAGTCAGAAATATAGGCCCATGAAAGTTGTTTCTCGAATAGCTACACCCAGGAAACACTACTCTGTCCTATAATAATGACATCAACTACATACTATTCCTCAAATGTATCATTCTTGTATTCAAAAGTAGTTGTTCACTCGGAAATTCTTCGATTGGAATAAAAGCCTTCATTTTATATTGATAATTTTCTGCTTCAAATTCGGAATTTAGGATTAAGTACATCAGAGCTATTTCCTATTAGTTATAGTGTTAGTATTGTCTTGAACCACTGTTATTTCCATCGTGCATTAAAGCTGATCTTCGTAAAACAAGGGCATTTTCATTTTTATGTTTGTGATTTTTAATATATCAGGTAGTACTTAAGTTTTGGCTTCACTACACATCTGTTTGTGACTAATAAGCATAGTTAAGGATGTACACATAAATGGAACCGGTACCGGTTCGGTCTGAGCTTTTCGGACTGGTTCCATCTATACTCTCAGTGTAGATCCTAGATTGATAATAAACAAATAAAATATAAAACTGTCATGATTTTATTATGAAACTATAGTGGATTTAGAACAGATTTAGTTGCAAGAAGAACAAACAGTATTACAACTATAGCTTTAATAATACTTATTCATTCTTTTGTTGCCTTAATATTATATTCTATCTTTCGCAGGTTTGAGATCGTATATCGCATACTCAGCATCTACGCGTATACTTTGAGATGCTTTTTCGCGTTAGCAATAACTGGATCTGATTGACTAATATTGGCAGCATACTCTACTAACACTCTATAACACATATCCAAAAAGATCAGTTTTGTACTGAAGTTACAAATACAGGAAATTACATTGAATCTCGCTGAGATCCTTACGGAGCCCAATTGGTCAACAAGTACTCATATGTAATTCGAATAGTTTATTACATATATAACTAATGGTAGTAAACGACTAGCATCAGTAACGTATTCTACTACTCGTCACTAGAGCATACCTAAAAAGGTGTGATTTGATTCTGACTTTTGTACGTATTACATTAAAATGAAACTTGTTGGAGTCTGCCTGGATCTCAGGTGGATAAATTAGAGTTAATCGAAAGAACTGAAATGAAATTATTTTTATTAAATTTAAAAAAGAAAATGAGAAAAAATTTGTTTGAGGTTCATATAAAATTTCTTTGAATTGAAGAAAAACTGATTTGTCTTAAGAGAAAAAAAAAATTTCGTTTGTTGAAAATCTAAACCTTTGAAAAAATAACTTATTTGGCTTTCATCTTAAAAGTTCTCAAAAGAAAAGTGTTAGTATTTGAATAAAAAATGAAAAATAATTTAATAAGAAAAAATAAAAGATAAAATTTGTTTCTATTTAAAATATTTGAAGTCTTTTTTAATTTATTTTATTTCACTCAAACGTTTCAATTCAAATCAGTTTTTTTATTGACAAATTTTCTAAAATATTTCTTTTTTTCAAATATTTATTTAACAAAAAATAAATCAACAAAATTTTGACTCATTTTCAATTTTTGTTTTGTTTTCAAATTAAATATTTGTCAATTAGTTTCGAAAACAAATTATTCATCAGTCAAACTTCTTTCTCGTCTATTCCTCGTTTCAAAAAAAAATAAATTTCAAATCCTTTTTCCTTTTCAAAGCAAAATTTGTCTTTTCATCAAACATTGTTATCAATGTTTCATTCAAATTTCGACTTTGACAGAAAAATGAAATCAAAGTTTTATTCAAAATTAATCTTTTCTTTTTCTTTTCATGAAAATCTTCTATTTTCATCGTTTTCTAGAATCAAAATTCAATAAATGGAAACAAAATGCTATCACTGTGGCTGGTGGAAATGGAGAAGGACAAGAATTAAATCAACTCAATGAGCCTCATGGAATCTTTATTGATAAAAACAAAAATATTTTTATTGCTGATCGTTGGAATCATCGTATTGTTGAATGGAAATATAATGCAAAAAAAGGACAGATCATTGCAGGTGGAAATGGCAAAGGAAATCAAATGAATCAATTGAATAATCCAACAAATGCGATAGTTGATCAACAAAATCATTCGATCATCATTGCTGATCATGGAAACAGACGGGTGATTCAATGGTTAAATCAAAATCAACAAATTCTCATTGAAAATATTTACTGTTTGGACTTGGTAATGGATAAACATGGATTTCTTTATGTTTCTGATTTTAAGAAGAATGAAGTGAGACGATGGAAAATCGGAGAATACAACAATGACGGAATTGTAGTGGCAGGTCCAGATGTCGAAGAAGATGAATTCGATCATCTCAATTCTCTAGGTTCGTTCTTTGTTGATGAAGATCAATCTGTTTATGTATCAGATGATGACATTAATCGTGTAATTAAATGGAGAAAAGATGCAAAAGAAGGAAGAGTTGTGGCTGGAGGAAATAGTGATGGAGAAAATCTCAATCAATTGTATTCACCTCAAGGAGTAATTGTTGATGATTTAGGTCAAATCTATGTGGCAGATTCTGGAAATCATCGAGTAATGCGTTGGTGTGAAGGAAAAAAAGAAGGTGAAATTGTTGTTGGTGGAAATGGTCAAGGAAATCAATCAAATCAATTGAATTATCCCATAGGTTTATCTTTTGATGATGAAGGAAATCTTTATGTTGTTGACTATAATAATCATCGAATTCAAAAATTTAAAATAATTTTGTGAATAAAATTTTAGTTTTGAAAAAAAGAAAAAAAAATTTTGCTAAATAAATAACCGAGAAACAAAAGAAAAAGTCGATTTAAGTTTGAAAAAAAAGACATATTTTAACAAAAAAAACGAAGAAAAGTCTTTTTATTTTTTTTTCATCAAAACTGAATTTTGTTGAGCAAAACAAATGTTAAAAAGATTTTCATTTAGATGAAAAAAAAACCATTTTGATAGATTTTTTAAAATGAAAAGTTCCTGATTTTAATTTTAAATAGTAGAACGGTTAGGGGTGTGGATTTGATTTATGAAGATAATACCCACATCTACACTCACACTCTCAATTAAATACTGATAATAATTGAAAATAGATTAGAATCTAAAATATTCTATTGAATATCAATGATGAAATAACATATTATGATATTAATTTGCTCTCAAGAGTAATGTATATCATGAAATAAAAAAAACGGAAATAACAACTATATGATAAAATAAATGTAAACAGAAAAAAAATAATAATATCAATTTTCATAGATGAATACTTTTGAGATGTTCATGATATAGCTAGTGTTTTATTACATTTTAAAGAGTTCTTTAGATTGATTAATTTATACATCTACGTCGTTTGTATTTGTTTAAAGTATATTATTTTACCTTGTAGAAAATAGAACAAAGAGTAGATTAAATACTAAACAAATATCAAGAGAAAATAAACCTTCGTGTAAACTAATTATTTACCTTTTTAGGTTTTTTCCTATACCAAATAGTCACTGTTAATCGTTAACATTTCATCAATAAATTTGTATAGACTAAGAATATGTTTAATAGATTCTCATTCTAATTTAACTGTGTAAAAAAAAAATTAAATGTTTAGATAGTACTGGTATAATTAGTTTCTCAATTTGTTTAATAAAAACTAAATATTTATGCTTTTTCCATCTCTTATTTAACTGTATTGTGACTTTTGTATCGTCGAAGAATAAGACAGAATGATACTATTTACTAGAGATTTATTTTTATGAGAAACTAACATGATTGACGATTAAGCAAAGATAACAGTAATAATCGTCACTATAGGATATGGATGTATGTATGAAGAATAGATAAATATTATAACTTGTTTTCACATCTTCAAATTGTTGTAATACATTCTTTTTCTAATATTTTGAGCATTTTAATCTCAGTTGAATTGTGACATCTATGTAAATATGTATCCTCATATATTCTAAATGACGTTTAAAAGTTAACATATCATTCATTGTTTTAATCGCTTCTCATTTCCAATCAAGAAAATGAGTTTTATATTATTTTTTTTCTAATTAAAAACTTGAAATATTCAGCAATACTTCTATTGTAATTAATGTAGAACAATTTAAAACTTTCTTTTTGCTTCGGTAAACACATGACATATCGCTCTTTATATTTTCATCTAATAACATTTTTAATATTGAAATGACGTTTTATATTAAATATATAACTAAAGCACTGAATAATCTTGTTTCTGTCTCTCTCTCTTTCTCTATTTCCCGTCGTTTAGGGACAGAAATTTGCACTCGCCACTTACATGACAGTAGGTATTTCGTGTTTTTTGCACATTTTAATGCCACAGCGATTCCATGACACAGCTTTTCTACTTTATGTCAAAAAACTACAAATACGAATCTTTGGCTGATTGATTCTTATTCTCTTATATTTTCCAAACAATTTCTTTTTATTCAGATTGTTGTTGCAAATTAAATATCAAAAATTCAAGTATAATTGTCAAACACAAATTTCATATTATTATTTTATTATAAAATGAATAGTACGTATTTTGTTTTGTTTCATTTTTCATACTTTAATGCAACGTCTTCAGATATTCTTCTAAAGTATCAAAAGATTTTGGTGTCAAGAAAGTACTCTGATTCTTTCTATTTAAAATTGAAATGTAAAATTCTGCTTATGATATTATCAACCTTTCATTCAGAAATGAATTCAGTACTGCTCGTTGTTGTATATAAATCACTTTCAGGCTTTTTTCTATTTCCTTGTAGTGACAAATACTTGTAGACGAGCTTTGGAATTATGCCGAAAATTTAAAAAGTATTGTCAAAATTTTAATTTGTTTCCATCTGTGCCACTTTCAACGGATGAGCATGAACTTAAAAATCAAAGAATATCAACAAGATTATACATTTCTTTGTTCATCCTATCATTAACAATTCTTCTCTTATGTATATCCTTGGCCAATGTTACAAACACTATCAATGTTCCAACACCTACTCTCACAAAATATGAACAATTATATTCTAAGTATTCACAAACTCTTACATGCCCCTGTAAACAAATATCAATCAACTATGAAAATTTTCTTTCTATTGAATATACATTTCATCAAGTATGCTCTAGTATTTTTATTACCGACGAATGGATTACACATAATGATGTGATTCTTCACTATTTATATACTAGCAACGATCCTCGAATAGTAGTTTCATATGCATTTCAAGCTTTACATGCATTTTGTGACTTAATTGAAAGTACAATTCATAATAGTGTGATTCAATTTAATTCAACTCAATATATTACTGCCTCTGTCGCATCATCAGACTTATTTCAGTCACAAGCTCAATCATTCATTGATCAGTTTAAATTATCAACAACAAATAATTTTTTATTATCCCTCAATATGGTTAGAAAGACAACTCAAGGAAACGCTTTTCTTTCTGGACAATTAACAAATTACCAGTTAATGGTATTGGATGACAAGCAGACTGTATTAACAATTTCCATGGCTTATTCTGGTTGCAGTTGTCATTTGTCAAGTACATGTGTCGAACAACTTTCCATCTATGATAATTCTACAAATATAAGATTATTCGATGTACCAGGTTTCTACACAGGATGCTATGTAATTGAAGCATTACTTCAATCTACTCTTCAGTGCTTTTATGACCAAAACTGTATAGATGAACTACAACTTTACTTAACAACTGCTTCGCCAATGAATGCAACAGCTCTTGATCCATCTTTATCAAGTCAATATTCTGAAAATTCCACCATCGAACATCTCCTTCAAAGTTTAATGATTGAAGATTGGAATTCAACGCAACTATATGATCGATACTATAATGAATGTCAACCTATACAATGCACTTATACTACTGAAACAAGGAATAGCGTAATTTACATTATTACCACAATGTTTGGTATTGTTGGTGGTCTCATGACAGTTCTAAGATGCGTTGTACCACGAGTTGTCAATCTTGTGAGAAAGAAAAGGAGCCAATTACCACAATCACCTTTTGGTAAGAAAAAGTTGAAAATTTTCTGCGATGTTTAATACATGAAATATTTATTGTCAATGGTCAGAATATTAATTGAACAGAATGACAAGTTGTATAGTTCTAGTCAAAGTCAAAAAATGTTCTGTGAAATTAGAAGAGAAGATTTTCTAGTCGACTATTTGCTATTTTTTTCACAATATTTATATTCGTGCACTTTTCGAGTGTAGGTATGAGTATTATGTTCAGCACACACGCTTTTAATTAGAAGTTCATTTATATATCTTTTCTTGCAGGACTTGTGCTGCATACCTATGTTTGCCGTTTGTTTCCAACACTTAAAAACTATTGTTTAACATTCAATGTGTTTAAATCTGTGCCACCTTCAACTGATGAACATAAACTTAAAAATCAACTAATATCAACAAGAATATTTATTGTATTGCTCATCTTATCATTAACAATTCTTCTCTTATATACATCATTAGCCGACATTACAAAAACTATCAATGTTCCTACACCTGATCTCAAAAAATATGAACAATTATATTTTAAGTATTCACAAACTCTTACATGTCCATGTAAACAAATATCAATTAACTATGAAAAATTTCTTTCTATTGAATATACATTTCATCAAGTATGCACTAGTATTTTTATCACCGACGACTGGATTTCATATATTGGGATGTCTTATGAAGCTACATCCGCTAATATTAACTTTCAATGGACAGCTTCGAATGCATTTCAAGCTCTACATGCCTTTTGTGACTTAATTGAAAGTACAATTAATAATAGTCTGATTCAATTTAATTCAAGTCAATATATCACTGCATCTATCGCATCATCAGAATTATTTCAGCTACAAGCTCGATCATTCGTTAAACAGTTTATATTATCAACAACAAATACTTTTGTGTTATCTCTTAATACCATCCGAAACTCAACTCACGGAGATGGTTTACTCTCGGGCTTATTGACAAATTACGAAATAACCGTAGGTACATCCATATCTAAAGAACCTATTGTTCTCGGCGCTCCAGTAGGTTACTCTAAGTGTAGTTGTGCTCTGTCAAGTACATGTATCGCACAGTCTTCCTTTTTGAATAGCCTGTCTAACATGGATAGTTTTGATGTACCAGGTTTTTATACAGGATGTTATGTGATTGAAGCATTACTACAATCTACTCTTCAGTGCTTTTACGATCAAACCTGTATAGATAATTTACAAATTTATTTATCACCACCTGTTCCGATGGATGTGACAGCTCTTACCTCATTATTACTAAGTCAATACTCTGAAAACTCAACAATTGAATATCTTCTTAATAATTTAATGATTGAAGAATGGAATTCAACACAATCATTCGATCAATACTATAATGAATGTCAACCTATGGAATGTACTTATACTATTGAAACAAGAAATAACGTAATTTACATTATTACCACTATTTTTGGTGTTATTGGTGGTCTCATAACAGTTCTAAGATGCGTTGTACCACAAGTAGTCAAGTTTGTGAGAAAGAAGAAAGGCTTAACACAACCACGCATCGGTAAGTCATAGTCGAACAAAGCACCTTCAGAGTGCGGTGTGTGTGAGGACGTAAGAATAGAGTAGATACTCTCAC